TCAGACAGACATCTGCATGCTCCAGATGGAGACTTCCTAAAAGATGTTTCATTCAGTTTCTATAATTGTGATCATCCTGACCGTCGCTGCTGACTGTGGAAAGGTCTTGGTGTTCCCCCATGATGGCAGCCACTGGGTTAACATGAATATTTTGATACAGGGAGCTACACAATAAGGGCCACCATGTTACAGTCATACGGCCAGCTGATAGCTGGTACATCAAAGAGCACTCTCCCCACTATGACTCTATGACTGTTGACTTTGCAGTGGGTGGTGATGAGGCGTTCTTCAACATCTTTATTTCCAGACAACTGCAGATTCGGCGGGAAAGAAGTCCTGTTTGGACTAGATTCAGTTTGGATATGGAATTAAAAGACAGGTTTTCAGAGATGCATAGAAAGATATGCGAAATGGTAATTCATATAATTGAGGACCAAAAGTTAATGAACTCCATCAGAGAAGCCAAGTATGATGTGCTGTTAACGGACCCTGCGAACGGTGGGGGAGTTGTGCTTGCACGTTATCTTGCATTACCACTGGTTTTCAATGTCCGCTGGACGGTACATGGAGAGGCACATTTTGGAATTGCTCCTTCACCTCTGTCCTATGTCCCCTTTCCTCTAGCCATGCTGACAGATAAGATGACTTTCTTTCAAAGGGTTTATAACCTGCTTTTCTACAGCATACGGCTTTTCCTATACAGACGCACAGTAGGTCCTCATTACAGTGCTTTGTGTAACCGCTACTTTGGTCCAGATGTGGACTACTTTGAATTGTTTCAAGCAGCTGACATTTGGCTTATGAGAGTCGATTTTGTGTTTGAATTTCCACGTCCAACTATGCCCAACATTGTTTATGTTGGTTGCTTCCAATGCAAGCCAGCTAAACCCCTTCCAGCTGATCTGGAGGATTTTGTGCAAAGTTCAGGAGAGCATGGTGTTGTTGTCATGTCTTTGGGAACTCTGGTTGGAGAGCTTCCATCTGACATAGATGATGAAATTGCTGCCGCTCTCGCTGAGCTCCCTCAGAAAGTGATTTGGCGACACACTGGAAAAAGACCATCCACTCTTGGCAACAATACAATATTGGTTGACTGGATGCCACAGGGTGATCTTCTGGGACACCCCAAGACCAGAGTTTTTGTGAGCCATGGAGGAACAAATGGGATTCTAGAGTCTATTTACCATGGTGTTCCAATAGTTGGGCTACCGCTAGTTTTTGATCAGCATGACAATCTTTCAAGAATGAAATACAGAGGTGTGGCAGCAGTCCTGGATATAGCCACCATAGAAAAGAACCTGTTTCTAGAGGCTTTGCAGAAAGTTATAAATGAGCCGTCCTACAAGATAAACATGCAGAGACTGTCCAGGCTTGAGAAGGACAAGCCAATACAACCACTGGACAGTGCCATCTTCTGGATTGAGTTTGTTATGAGGCACAAAGGTGCTGCTCATCTGCGAACGGAGTCCTATAAAATGCCCTGGTATGCTTACCACAGCACTGATGTCATAGCATTCTTACTTTTGCTTGTGTTAGTCGCAGGTCTTCTGACTGCGGCAATGATCCGATACTTGTGTTGCAGGCTGTGTATGAAAAAAATGAAACAGGACTGATTCTATGCCGTCTTTTTATGTGCGATTACCACTTGTATTGAATAAAGAGTTAATTTGTCACAAATGAATTCTCAAATAAAGGTCATAGAAAGAATGAAGAGCCGTAATCCCATCGAGATTCAGATGGAATGACTGCAAGCACTGCCTTGATAAGTTCTGGTTGTGTCTGATGTTCCCCTGTTTGTTCACAAACCAGATTTAATATTGGTGGAATATTAATTTTTAATATTTTAATATTGGTGGAAATGAATGCAGCTTAGAATTCAGCTTATTTCCTTACCGTCCTGTTGTAAGCAAATGTTATACATTTCTTTTATGAAACACATTTAGGAGAGTTTCTTGCAAGTGAATCTTCATTAAGAAAAGAACAAGAAAAAAACTTTATTAAAACTTTTATTTCTGTCCTGTAATACTCTGTCCTATTTGTCCACCAGATGATGACATATTACTGTGCCTAATTACTAATCTACTACAGTAGTATACATGATGAGTGTGTAAAAGTACATGTAAATTCATGTAACATACATGTAAATACATATTTGTATATATGCTCATTCTAATATTTTGTTTTATATAATTTCAATGTTGTATGCAAATACTGACAGTCTAAACAGTCTACCTACACTGTAAAAAATTCACTGCACATCTACAGTAAATCACTGGCTACTAGTTGCATTACCTTTACAGTAATTTACTGTATAATATACAGTAAATAACAGTAGAACAGCAACTTAATACTGTGACTCCACTGTCCCCTGGACCACAATATCACAAGACTTATAATTTTACCAGACCTATAAATGTTATTTTTCATGATTTCTAAAAATATCTTAAGTTGAGTTGATTGCACAATAAAACAATGAACAAAGTGAAAACTTTGTGTTAGACATGGTGAAATCCAGGCAATAATTAACACTGAATGTAAGTTGTAATTGCATGTGTTGTGGCAAACATTTCTTACAGCAAAGCATAACACACTGTCTTATTTTAAGGCAAGACAACATTTTATTATGGAATACCATCCACTAATATTGTAAAAAAAGAGAACAAGATATAAAATGGCAAAATCATGGCTTATAGCAAAAGGTACTTACAAATAACATGTCAAATTTGGCTTTACCTTCAGTGTAATGTTACACTTCTACTGCTGCATTCACAGTATACAGTCAATTACACAGTCAGTCTCAGTCAGGGTGCGTTCTGGTAAAGTGGGACACTTAAGGGCTTTAAGGCTTTAAGTTTTTGGAATTGTGCTTTGTTGCTTTTGTGTGCCAGATAATACTGTGTGTGTACTGAATGTAAATGACTGTTCATTACACTGCTATTGCTGCATGTACGCTGAATGTGAATAAATGTTTTTGATTGATGTGACATGAGGTAACGATTCTTATTCTGAAATGTTAAGGCTGTAGTTGCTATGTAGAAATGTTAATGCTGTGGTTTTGCTGCTATGTAGATTCAAACAGTTCATAATTTGGTTTGATACAATACTAACATTCAAGACATTTTCTGATAAAGTAAAAATAAGCAGTGCCTGAAAATGGGCTTTATGTTGGAGTTTCCAGTTTATTAGAGCATTTGGCATTATTAAAGTATAATGTTTGCTTTAGAATGTCTCAGTGGAGTTAAGCCTCATCCATACAGTAACATTTAACAAAACCTGTGCTTTACAGTACACCAATCTAATGCTCTAGCTATGAGCTAATATGTTAGCCCTGAGGTAACACACTAGCTACAATATGATACAATACATGTACTGTAGTGTGCCTTTAGATAATGCATTTAATGTGGAAGCAGCTTCACACATTTCCACTCCAACTATGGTTTTTCAAGGGTTCTTTAGTAAAGAAAATGTTTCTATATAGATCCATGAACACTCCAAGAACCCTTTGCATGATTGAAGGGTTCTTTGCATCATGAAAGCATTCTTCAAATTGAAGAAGAACGTGCTGTAGATGGTTCTATATAGATACTTTTTGAAAAGTGTTCTATGTAGCAGCAAAAAAGGGTTCTTCTGTTGTAACAAGCCTGACATTGTAACAATAGAAGAGCCCTTTTTGATACTATATAGAACCCTTTTCAAATAGGTTCTATATAGAACCATCTACAGCACATTCTCCATCAATCTGAAGAACGCTTTAATCATGCAAAGGGTTCTTTGAGTGTTCATGGTTCTATATAGAACCATTTTCTTCACTAAAGAACACTTGAAGAATCATCAGTTTTAAGCGTGTACTGAAGCTTATTTGCATCCTGGGCTGCAAATCCCATAAGCAAGAGATATCAAACCCCCATTAAGCAGATGCAGCACTTAGTTGGGAACAAATATTCTCAAAAAAATAAAGGTTCTAAAAAGATTTCTTGAAGTGATGCGGTTAAATAATGATATTAGTTTCCATTAAGAATCTGTCAATTGTTCTTTAGACGAATACTGCAGTGTTTTTCAACCCAGTCAGCGTATCTGGCACTGGCATCAGTTACACAGACAAGACTTTCCCCATTATCAAAAGAACAGGAATGTCACTGACTCAAAACACACATAATTCAAAGGGCAGTGTGTTTTGAATCAAGAGTTTTTTTGTAGTTTTATTAAGTACAGAGGAAAACATCTAAATAATTATATGATAAGTAACTATGCAACAGGTGTGATAGGTTCAAAAAGGACCATCAATTGAACGATTATTTGGGAAACCAAAAGTGGTTCTTCTGTGGCACCGCTCCAAAGAACCCCTTTTGGCACTTTTAGAAGTGTTTTTCAATACAGAAATGTGCAGTGGTGTCAAAATGTATTTAGACATTTGTGCCATACTTACAAATGTATGACGTTAACAGCAAAACAAAATGTCAAACCAAGTAAAATATTCTTTTAAACGGCGGCTGGTGTTTCAGATCATTACTTCTTAGAAAATGCCTTTGTACATGTTTGTGAACCCATCAATGAACACAAGCTCATCGACAAAACAGAAAAACAGTCACAGACGGTTTCACCTCTGTGCTTTACAGCACCCATTAATGCAGTCTGACTGGAGTTCTTCTCCAGGATCTCTCAGTCTGATGTTGTGCTAAAGGTATTTTACTTTACTTTATGAAGTCACCTAAAGGTCCTCATTAACCTTTACCAATAGCTAAATGGCTAAAGTGTCCAAATACTTTTTGGTGTAGATAAGAGCAAATTTAAAACGTAAATGTTTGCCAAAAAGTGTCCCCTTTAGCGGAACTTACCCCACAAAACACTGACCACATCTAACAAAAACTCATCAATTAGAAAAATAGATGTTCATTATAAAATAAGGAGGGTATATAACAGGATAAAGAGTCTGGTTTCTTTGGTTGCGAGTGTGACCGAGCTTCCACACAAACACGCTTGAGGATCTCACTTTCCCACCCTCATGATGTCCTCGGGGTGTACGTCATTTCCGCTACATTGGCATCCTGGGATTGGAAGTCCCTCCGGCAGCTCTCTCTAATCACATACACTACCAGTCCAGCACAGATAAAAATCAGCAGCACTATGCCGATAACCTAGAAACAAGAGCCACAGTGGAGAATCTGGTTAGACATGCTTTTTGTTAGGAGAATAAAATGAAAAGAAGTGGCTTGTAACTTTTTTTATGTTTTATTAGTAAACTTTCTAAGACTACAAGAATCAGTCAGAGACAAACTAGTTTTCTCTTTAGCTCAATCTCCAAGTAGGCTCACTCTAAAAAGTGACATGTTAAATGTCAACACTTACTTGTGTTACCTGTTTTAATACAAACTGTGTCACTGTTTTCCATTTTAACACATTCTATGTTAAAAGTAGCACAAAATGTGTTAACTGAAAAGTGATGTCTTTAACTGAATGCACCAATGTGTATAGTTAGAGACAGAATGTGTTGTTTTTTTAACACATCTATTTGAAAGTGTTGATTGCTTAAAGGACTTGTATCTTGGCTCCTACATTAAAACCTGTAAAGACATGTAGTGGTCACCTCATTCCAAGATTTCCTTCAATGAAACAAGACATTAGCCCCTATTATAAGAGTGGGTCATCTGATATCAAGGCCTGAAGATCACTATAAACATTTTGTACATTCAACCTTTGAAAAAGTGTGCTTCATATGGGTAACCAGAGGCTTATGTGGATTTATTTCAGACAAATAAAGCAGCAACAAGCAGTATAACTGGTAAGAGTCAAATAGTCTAAGTTTAAAAATGAACCAAAAGAGTGTTTTACATCAGACCAGATCTAGCTAACATCATACCAAATGTGGGTAATATCAGACCAAATGTGACTATTATCACACCAAACCTGGCTAATATCATACCAAATAAGGCAAACACCAGACTAAACCTGGTATCAGACTAAATTAGGCTAACATCAGGCCAAATCTGGCTACTGTCAGACAAATGTGGCTAATATCACACCAAACATGGCCAATATAATATCAGACCAAATGAGGCTAACATCAAATCTGACTACTATCTGACCAAATCTGGCTTATGTCACACCAAATGTGGCTAATGTCAGATCAAATGGGTCTAACATCAGACCAAATCTGGAAAATTCTGGTAACAACATCTGGTAAACTCTTTTTCCCTTTCTTTTAACTTACACTTTTTTGCACTATTACGCTGAAAAGTAAGCAGCTGGCTGCTTGAAATGTAGATTTTCTGGAATTCCACACCTGTTACTGTTCTGTTAACTTGCTATTGTAAGTTCTCAAACTTCAAAGGCAGCCAGGTTCCTCTCTCCTGTTTTCAGCGTAGCAGTGCGTGAGATGTTCTTGTTTACTGTTTTCAGACCAGCCCTCCCAGCGGATCTCTCACCTGAGACACGACGAAGAGCTGCTGGGAGCGGAGCATCAGCTCCCGAGGCGTCGGGCTTTCCTCTTCGTCCTCTTCTTTCACCGGCTCGCACCATTTCTGCGGAGCCGCTTTGTCCACGATGACGAACCTGCCCTCCCAGTCCGTCATCGCGCAGGCGAAGTACTGCCCGTCGAGGAAGACCAGAATGAGCCAGACGACCGCGGGCACCACGCTGGAGACAGACACGCTCTTACGGCTCCACGTATCGCACCTGCAGCCCTGGATGATCAGCATGAGCGTGAAGGCCATGACGGCGGGGATGATGAAGAAGGCTGAGGAGAACAGTCCGTTCCACGTCGGGTTGCAAGGACACTCAAACTCCAGCTCGACCAGCTTCTCCAGTCCCATGAGGATGAAGCCAAAGGCCACGTTGGAGACCAGAGGACTATTGCTCAGCTCATTCTTCAGCCTCGTTAGCCATTGTTGTCTACTTCCCATACTAAAGCCACCTACAAAAAGTCCCAAAAGCACGACCTCCGTGGGGGACACATTTGCAGCTGATTAGTGAGGCGTAAATAAATTTCATTTTTTTCCTCTGAAGGCCAACTACAACGCCTGCATTCCTATTGGCGTTGAGCTAAGGTGGGTGTGTCATTCAGGCCTACATTACTTCAAATAATTGGCTCCCAGTAGGTAGCAGGTGGGGCTTTGGTTTAAATGGATCTTCCCATTGATTAATTCGAGGGAGGGGAGTAAAGTGGAGGGAAAATCAGTTTGCTTCCCCATTGGGTGAGTCAAAACAGTCATCTGTATAGGTATCTGTGCTCTCATAAATGACTGGATACTAAAGGGTAAAGCCACAGATTTTTAAAACTTTCTCCATAATCCAACTAGTGAAATGTAAACAAAGTAATTTAGCGTGTTTTGATGTGAAATGGTGCCCTGTAGATAAATCTGACACACATTTCTATACAGTGGCAGTGATAGGAACACAATGGTTACAATGTCCACAATGCAGATATGACCGTATCATGAACTTTCCAAAACCGACAGTGAACCTACACACACACATATAATGTTGATCATGGTAAAATAGAAAACAGGAAAAGGAGTTTCCTTACAATGCCCTGTGTGTACCGCTCTGCCATAACTGCTTTTAAAATTATGATGTATGGGAAAACTTAGCGTAAAACATTGTCTCTGACATCAGGCAGCTTTATGTGATGTAGCTTTCAGAGGCATTAAACTGTGCGGATGTCTGGTTCTTATGCAACATTTCCTTTGGTAATTATGCAAAAATGTAGTAAAATGGGTGGAATTCCCCTTTAATTGTAGCAAGATGGATATAGTTACAACTACTAGATAGATAGATAGATAGATAGATAGACTTGTATATACTGCTTCAGTAAAATACTATATAGGTACTATGCAGTATTATACTACTATATTATACCTATTGTATTACAAGACTTATACTATTACTATAGCTGATAGTTTTTATTCTCACTGTCATCTCTAATTAATAACATCAATAGTTCATTTGAGGTAAAACATTTCTTCAAAAATTCAAGAAACAGATACATTTAAATGACTGACTTACATAATTTGTTTAGATGATATCATGATTTTTCACTATCCTATGAAATAAATACCTGTTAATCACAGTAAGGTCTTATTTTACTACCCTGATCTATTCTTGCTTTTGTGCAATATTTAAGTAAGTGTTTCAATGTTAGGCCTCATATAAAAGATGCACTTCTGCTCTTTGCCATAAGGTGGCGCTTTACGAATGTAAAAACTGTGAGGCATGAAGGATTACTGGGAGCCATGATGGATTTTACACGCTTTACTCTGATTCTGCTTTCAGCTCAGCCCACTGTAACCTTAAGGCCCGGCCTGTGTAGAGGGCACACAGCAAAACAAACAAACAAACAAACAAATGAATAACAGCGGGTGAATTTAAGAGCTCTGCTGGATTGCAGGTGATAGATTGTTGGATTATTTCAACCGTGTAGTTTTAGTGTGTGGGTGAAATTCTGCATGTGCTTCTGCAAAATCTGTTTACTGTGCAATAAAGCACGTGTACAGTACAGTAAGGTCACCTTGTGGCCTGTGTGGTCTCTCAAGGTGCTGCCTTCTGTGTTACATAAATTCCTTATGAGGGGAGGGCGGTTAGTATGTAATGTTCAAGTGGAATTTTTCTGGCATAGACATGTAAACAGTGTCTTTTAGAGTCCCTTACAAATATTAATGATTTCAATACAGTATTAAAATATCTGAAAAATTAACATTTGATGTGTATCAAAATTTGAAACTGCATCATTACACCCCTCTGTCTGTTCCGAGTTGTCATCTTTTGTAGAAACCTGTCAATGATTTTACGGGGTGATGGGATACTGCGCTATAATATCTATATTTTATTCATTTTGCTGTTTTTCTAATTCTACTGAACTAAACTGGCGCTGTCAGAACACAACCTCATAAATGGTAACTTTACTGGAGAAGAGAAAAACATTCCTAACTTGTGATATATTTATATTTATAAATGTTTTTGGACCATTTCTATTTCTCCACTCATCATGAAATTTTAACACAGGGCAAAGAATAACTGGAGTTTCCAAATTATGCAAAAAAGTAAAAAACTACAAAAACAGAGACCCAAGGTTTTTGTGCAACAGCGCCAAAAAGTTATATTTCTCTAATGCTATTTCAGGCAGATGTAATCCTGATTTCAAGACTTTATGTATTAACAGATATGTGCATAAAAATATTGGACATCGACCCACAGTTACCACATCAGTGCATCCCTAGTTTACTGCTCAGTAGCAAAAGTAGGACAATTACCTACTGCTTCACTGTCATAGAAAAAAGTACTGTGCAAGTACATTTTCAGTTCAACAAGGTACAAACAGTCTAAATTACTCTTAAAAAATATGGTTCTTTAAGGGTTATTTAATAAACTCTATGGTTCTATATAGAACCACGAATACTCAGAGAACCAGTTATATGCTTAAATCGGTCTTTGCATGGTGAAATCGTCCTTCAGATTGACGGAGAATATATTGTATATGGTTCTATACAGAACCTTTTTGAAAATGGTTCTATATAGCACCAAAAAAGGCTCTTCTATTGCTACAAGCTTGACATTGTAACAATAGCAGGACCCTTTTTAGTGCTATATAGAACCATTTTCAAGAAGAGTGTACTTATAAAAGTACAGCAATGGTCCAACTGTGTACCTTCAATATGTTTTTCCTAGTGGAGAGGTACGCATTTGTATCTATTTGTCTTAAAACAGAACAATAAAATAAAACGCCTGGAGGCGAGACGGGCTGTGTGGAGTCAATACAACTTAAAAAATGTAAATACAATTGATTATGATATAACTATGTTCCCTAAATAAATGCGCTGCAGACGTTCCCTGGAGGGTACCACCCCCATCACAGTTTAGTACTTTTTTTCTGATAGGGTACTTTGCAATTGCAATTGGCTTTCAAGGGTTCTTTAGTAAAGAAAATGGTTCTATATGGAACATTGAACACTCAAAAAACCCTTTGCATGATTAAACAGTTCTTTGCGTAGTAAAAGTGTTCTTCAGATTGATGGAGAATGTGCTGTAGATGGTTCTATATAAAATCTTTTTGAAAAGGGTTCTATGTAACACCAAAAAGGGCTCTTCTATTGCTACAAGCGTGACATCGAAACACCAGCAGAACCGGTTTTGGTGCTATATAGAACAATTTTCAAAAGGGCTCTATATAGAACCATTTACAGCACATTCTCCATCAATCCGATAAGCCTTTTCATGATGCAAGGAACCCCTTAATCATGCAAAGTGTTCTTTGAGCGTTCATGGTTCTATATAGAACTATTTTCTTTACTACGGAGCCCTTGAAGAACCATATTTTTATTGTAGAATCAAGACATTTTCTCATTAAGTTTCACAAATTTTTGACCCCAGAATCACAAACTACATAAACCTTAGACTATGTGTATCATTACATGTCTAAAACAAACGCTGATTGGAAATGAAGGCACAATAGGGCAGTTTTTCTCAGGCCTGCCTCCTCTGCACTACACTATGTAGTGTTTCCTGCTCGAACGTGTTGTGACACAACTCATCAGCACCATGAGCTTTAAATGGAAGTGTTGGAACAAGAGAAACACTAAACACTGAGGTGCAGATGAACTACAGGAGCAGGATTAGGAAGCACTAATCTAAAGCAGTGAGTCTAGGGTTTAGAGGCTTGTACCTGCTCTTTGTTAATTCAGCTATGCTGGACACAAAAGTGATTGATTTCTATTAAGTACAGTTTTCTCATTTTAGAAATATTTTGTATAATTCTGTTCTATTAACCTTTTCTCTGGCGAAGCTGCCATCTAAGTGGAAAAGAAAATCCCAGAATAAAACCTTGTGCGACCTTTTGTTACCCACCCACACAGTATTACATAGTATGATCCAGTTTGAACTGGTGGTGCATGAAAAGAAAAACGGAGAGGAGAGGCTTACAAGAACACGAAGAGGAAATCTACGAAAGACTGTTCCAGAACCAAGACAAGAGGCTCTTCACGAAAAAATCTAAATTTCTTGAACTTCTACCTTAATGTTGTCTTTTATTTTTGACAGTTTTTTAAAACTATCTTTCCAGACCAGCCTGATCTCTGTGTGTACAGTGCTACAAGGTCTTTTTCATTACATTGTTTGGACGGGTCAGAATGGGCGTTAATGGATATCTGTGAACATCTTTTGTATGAATACAATGCATATTCAGATATATTCAGGAATCTAAAGCAGTGTTTTCCCAACAGAACAAATCATGCTCATATTGCACCAAACTGTTGCACTTATTTCTTTCCCTCTTTCATCATTTTTACACTAGAAAAAAATGACTGTGTGTTAGTTTAAGGATGTAAGACCTGGCTGCCTTAAAGGGCCCACACCCAACATGTTCCTTGTACTTTTATTTGTTCCCTGAGGTGCACTTACAACATTTGTGAACTAATATGTACCAAAAACAACCACTATTCATTTTTCAAGACCATTTCCAGCCTCTCTTTTTCCCTTAAAAAGAAATAGGCTGTTACTGTACCTTCAAGACTGATATGTAAATGGCCTCTGATATGATTGACTGTGCTGTTTTGCACCTCAGACTGAAACACTCATTTGACTTTGACGTGATTGGGCAGAGCTAAACTGCTGTATGATGAAAAAGTGGATGTATATGAATGTATTACTTTTTTATGACATCACAAAAACACTAAATTCAAAACGTGCTGTCTTTGCAGTTTAGTTTCCATACATGGACTGTATGGACCTTTAACAATGTTTACAACTACGGGTTTTCCATGATATGAATCTAAATTTTAAAAATGTAAATTTTACTGAACTTTAAATAATAACAGAATATAGCACGGTGATAATTGGTCTGTTGACATACTACTTAAGATTCAATCAACTCAAAAATTTAACCCATTCATGTTCAATAACTAAATGTAGTATCAAAAAAAGTCAAATGCCAAAGAACTAGATCTGATTATTTATAGTTATACCTCAGATGAACGTCTAACATCTATCAGTTCCCAATGGAGTTTTTATTGTTTTTGATTACACGCCATTTTTATATTTTACTTCACAATCAAATTAGGTTTATTTTTGTTCTGTTAAAAATCAGTAACATCATGACAAAAAAAATCATGTTTAAGCCATACGGTTTGATTGTGTTGACAAGTATATGGACCAAAGTGAATTTAACATTGATTTAAAAAGAAAATTCAATATTTGAACCTATACATGACCAACAACGTAATGAAACATAGAAAAAAAAATGTTTGGTCTGTATGTATATCTACATCTTGTCTGACCATCTAATAGCACCTATTTGATTTATTATCATTTTATTTTTTAATGTAAGTTTTATATTTTTGTTAACAATCACATTTATATTGTCTAATGTTTTGAAATTAGTTGTCCTGTAGGACCAAAAGATGAGATTTAAGACTAGATTTATCTGATCGATTTGACAACATACAGACCAAAATCATAATCATAATCAGATTTATTGGCCAAGTATGTTGACACACAAGGAATCTGATTCCAGTTTTCTGAAATCATTAGTTTTGTTGGTTATATATATATATATATATATATATATATATATATATATATATATTTTAATATGAGCAAATATATGTACATATATTGTTCTTTCATATGGGAGATATGGACATTAACAGGCTTAAAGCAGCCACGTGGGACATCAATGGATAATGCACAGATGGATATTTCTGAAAACTGTAGAGTAATAAATTCATATTTTGCTTTCCAAGTTTCGTTTCGTTGACCTGCGTGATGAACTCAGCTCCACTGCCAGCGCGTCTGCGCAGCCGTGGAGCAGCACTGAACTGCTTTAATCACTCGATGGGGGGCGCACACACATACACACACATACACACACACACACTTGCATGCACGCACGCACGCACACACACCAGGGTTTTTTTTTCTCCTCTGCCAGCGCGATGACGGACTCTGCCCCCCAAATGGCCCTGTGCGCGCTCCCCTGAGCTGCCGGGCTGTCTGCAGCCGTCGCTGCTCCATCGCCTCGCTTGGTTTCTCCACGTCCAGCCAGGATTTTTTACTTTTTTATTTTATTTATTTTTTATTTTTCCTCCCATCTGATCTGCGCATCCCTCCATCTTCAGGAGCTCCGTCCCGTCCCGCTCCCCTGCTGCTGCTGCTGCTGGTGTGTGTGTGCGCGCGGGCGCGTGTGTGTGTGTGTGTGTGTGAGAGTGTGTGTAGCTCAGGACTGCCCCCCCCACCCCCTCTCCACCTCCTTTTCTTGCTCCTTCCACTATAAACCCCAACAGCCATGCGTTCCTGTGCAAAGATGCTGGCCGTCGTCGTTCTCGGAAATGTCATGCTGCAGTATGTCTCCTCTCAGAACGGTAAGGATCAGCGCTGCTGTCGCGAGAGCACAGCTCCACTCCGTCCACTCTGCCTGCCTGTGTAATCTGCCTAGCCTCCATAATATCCACACTGTATCTCCATCCTTCTCGGTTGGGCTGCCAGCGGTTCTTCTATTGCTGTCGTTATTATCGCTGCTGTTGCGGTTAGCAGCGTGTAGGTTCTCCACATTAAGGTGTTAAGATGCTAAGAGTGGACTTAACTGGGAATTAGTGCACGTCCTTATTATGTCAGCCAGAGAGGATTCCCGTTTCAGCTCATGGGACTCAGGCTATTGCTTTCTTTCTTAATTATCACTGCTGTTGTACTGTTTAAATTGTATTTATTATTACTATTATTATTGTATTCATTACAATCATAAGGACTGTACGTGTCAGCAGGCTGGACAGAATCAATCTGGATAGATCTAGAAGCTCTCTGCTGCTTTCACACAGTGTGTTTTGTTAGTTGCTGATTAGATTCAGTGTGTATTTGGGGCGGGGGGGGGGTGGGGGGTGGGGGGAGGCTTTTCCAAATAGAGACAGAGAAGCGTTATTTATTATTATTTTTCCCACCTGTATTCCGGCAAGCCCCGTCCCCCTGCGATAGGATTGGCTGGTAGTTCGCACTCACAAGCAGTCCGGCTAGTGTGAGCTAGTATCAGGAACTACTAATATAAACTATATTGTCTAAGTATGAACTACTAGCCAATCCCAGAGCAAGAGGTGGGGCTTGTGGGAATATAGGTGGGAAATAAAAAAAACACCACTTTCACATGCAAGCTCCAGCACTGGATGAGCTTAAAGGGACTTCCACCAAAATGTCTGTATAATTTAGTAGCTCAGATGTAAACAAAGTCATCTGTGAAATGTGGCATTTTAGAGAAACTCTGATTTCTTTACAGCGGTGGTGACAGGAACCAGCTGTTATGAACAGAATTATAGCCATTTTATTTATCATCCAAAGATACAAGTGAAGGTCTGAGTTTGATATGTAACGCTGACCATGTAAATACAGTGAAAGAACCGCCAGCGAACCCACACATATATGCGTAATGCCGATCATGGTAAAATAGTGGTAAATCTGAAATATGAGTTTTCTTTGGGGACTATTTTGTCTTACAACACCCTGTATGTGCCTCTCCGCCATAAATAAAAGTATGTGTTAAAAAATTTGTTTTATGCCAAAATGCTATTTTTAAACTGGCATAAAACAACGTATTGGGTATCAGACAGTGTATTTGTAACTATTCCATGCAATGACTTTCTGTGAGACAGCCTTTAGAGCCATTAAACATGGACGTCTGGTTCCTATCACCACCACTTTGAACAATTTAGAGTTGGTACGTTTCTCATGAATGGATCATTTCATGTAAGACCATTCTGAATGACTTTGTTTACATTTTAATGATCCAGAAATGTTGAAAAATCTGAGGAATTTCACCTTTATTTGACTACAAGTTGTGTCTTTTTAAGACATTGGTTTGAAATGCTTATGAAACATATTGACACTGTCATATCAAAACCTCATAACTTTTTTCTCCAGTGTTTTTATCTGAGAACACCAACGTTCCTTTATATTGCATGAACATTTCATGAAGAATGAGCCAAAAGAAATGGCCCAAAAGTGTGGAGTAAAATTTAATTTTATTGAAGTTAAGTATTTTTTTCCTTCTCCTTTACAGTTATCATTTCCGAAATACGAGGTTTTGTTATGACAGCAACAATATTATCATGTATACTATCTTTAAATGATCTGTGCTGACTTTCTTTGTGGGATGACCAAAACTATGACCCAGAAGGTGCATAGAATTAGAATGAGCAAGGAATTTCTTTTAATTGAACCCAATCATAAAAAAGTAATTCTCAGTTGCTTTTTAATTGCTGTCTAGTTTCTCATGGTTAAACAATAACTGGTAGGGTATTAGCCATACTGAATTTGATGAAAGAACTAAATGAGCCTAGCAGAAAAAATATGTTAAGCCCATACATGAATCATGTCTATTATCGTGTTGCACAGAGAGGGAAAGAAAGTACGTGTGAAGGCATGTTTTGATAACCCCAACAAAAAGCCATTGGCTTTGGCCAACTATTGTCTGGCCAAGCCCATCTGTACACATACCAGACCATGCTGTGGGCTTCATGAACAGTACAGGCTACTTTCACCGCCCCCGTATTGAAATTCCAAACCCTTTTTTACTCCATTATATCAGAAACTGCCACTTGACGTTTGTGGTTTTGTGGCGATAACCCGGGCCTTGTCTGGTTTATAAGAATGGAGCTTTACATGCACAGCACTGTATCTGGTAGACCGATTTAGCACAGTGATGTGATGCACTGTCTTATTACTCATACCTGTGAATCGCACATGACGTACAGTTTTAATCTCTGCACGCGTCTCAAACAATCAAACTGCCGCACGTTTGTGGCAGATGCAGCGTCGGTTGTCTCAATCCCACACGAATGATATCATCTGAAGTTCCTATTAATGTGACAGCTTTGGTGAAGAATTCAGCTGGCTTTACAAAACAAAATTCAATTAGCATGTACGGAGGAGGTCAAGCAAAAGCCATTAAACGCGGTGTGGATGGATGGTCCTCTGAGGGCCAGATTCAGCAACAGATATCTGCAGGACTGTAAATAGCTTTGGTCCATTTTGCCGCATGTTTCTATTCTTAGAACGGAGACATGGAGCACAGAACTGTGGCTTTAACATTCTTTTGTGAAAGTGAATCCATTAACTCTTAATGGATGGGGTTGCATGGCAGTTGCTGCCTTTCTCTGTGACCGTGGATTTCAATGAACAATTTAAGCTCGGAAAGATGAAGATCCAACAGTGTGGGGGAATGGAGGATATTCCCAGAGCTCAGGATGCTTAGCTTTGCCTCAGAACATGTGTAATCTGGATTATAAATTACCTATTTTTTCATTTTTTCCAAATGCACACATTACAAAGGCTGGCTAACTTTTACAGCTTTGATTTTTGATTGAGACTTTTTCATTAATAATGGCCTTTTCTTTTCAGGGGCTCATTCCATAGTATTTCTAAGGGGATCAGTTTCTGTAGCTGATTCATTACACAGGGGTAGACATTGCCTGTTGTCCAGTGCCTCTGATCACAACATTCTGGCCACTAAAAATGCATGCGTGTGGCCACTTGCTGTGGAGATTTTTTTGGCATTGTCGTTCCATTTTAACAAACCTGTTTGACCAAATTTGGACAAATAAGATTTTCTTGCAAATCATTAACTGTAATCGCAGTGATAGCCAACAAGGTGGTGATGACCGTGGTGGTCTCCCCTGCTGAGCTGGTCCACCTGGCATCGCAAATGTGGTTGTATTAGTTAAAGGTCTTACATAAAAATAAAATAAGGTGTAAAATATGATGGCGTTACACTGAGAGGTTAATCACTACAGTAGCTTAACAGTTGCTAATGACATAACCTAGACTGGATGACATCTGAATGGACCAGCTCGGCAGGGAGGACCACCATGGTCATCATAAAGGCAATCCTCTTTTTTAAAGTAAAGATTTTAGTAAATATTTCTTATTCCTTGCTTGTTATTTGTAAATCAAATGCATATACCATAAAGGTGTCTTTTATTCTGGCCACAAATTCTTATTCTCCACTGCATGATGATGCCTCTCAAAACTGACTCTTTATATCATGCATTTCAGGCAACAAATGTAATAATAATAATAATAATAATAATAAACAACAACAACAACAACAACAATAATAATAATAATAATAATAATAATAATAATCTCCAAAGCAAAAAGCTTCCCCCTACATGACATGTTCTTTGTCATAACATCCCACAAGTAAAACTAGCACACAGTGCTTCTGGTAAAATCTAAAGCAACCACCCATTGAAACAAGTGGATTTCTCTTTATGGGGAAATCCCTTGTGATGCACTGGAACCACTAACAGTTGGAGGGTGCCATTAGTGATCTTTGGTATAATTGATTCTGTCAAAGATCAATAGTAATGCATTACAACGATGCCACAGGAACCTAAAGACTAAATTATATAATTTTAATAGAATTTATGTTGATAGATTTTGTCTTGTGGCAAGAACTGCAGGTTGCTGCTTATTGTCGACATCTTAGTGAAAGGCTTTAATGAAATGAGTGTTTATGTTTAACAAAGGATTAGAGCATACTGACTACTGAAGAGGTCATCTAGATCTGAATCTCATTACACTGCTGCCATGCATCACGACCGATGTAAATCCGCTTGTCAAATTCCTTGTTCCAATTCATCCTTCAGAACAGGTCGAGATTAAGCACAGAGGAGTGAGAGAAATAGAGGGGCCATTGTTTGGGACAGAACAATGATGAACCATTCAAACCAATTCAAAGACAATAGTTTTACACCATGAGCAGCACCTTGCAACTTGTGCTGTAGCCTGTTCAACCAGGCTTAGCAAATAGTGGCCTGTTCTATTAAAACTATACACATAAAGGTTAAAGCCTTGAACACTGTTCTAACACCAACACTATTAACATTACATGTATAAGCACACAGAGCGTAAAAGAGGCTAGATGAACCGTGCTACATTACTGTGTTCTTTCATAATAGACACTGTTTAACTGCAGATTAAATAGATTGGCTAAGCAAATCAGAACAATAGCATAATAAAGTAATAATGATTCTGATGATGAGTTTAATGATGAGTTGCATTGCAATAAAATGCAGATAATATTACGTTCTGCTAGTACCTTTACGGGGTTTGCAATGTTATGTTAGCTAACTGTGGTGAACAGACAGAGATATCTGAAGTCTGTAGGAGACATTCAAATAACGTCTTCACTGTGTATGATGTAGTTTTAGTTTCATTTAGCTTCAGTATATCATTTGGCCAAGACTGACGTTGGTTGGCGGGTGTGTTGGGAGCCTGGTCCTATAGGTGTCTGCTCTGTGAGAATTTGGCTCCAGGTCAGATCTGACTCATGACCACTGCTATAAAATATGCAGCAGACTACTAAGATAAACCA